ATAAACTAAAAAAAACCACCCAGAACCATAAACCACTGCAGCATCAAAAACACTCGGCTCTCGGCTGACGCCCAGTGAATGCCTCCTTGTTGTGCTCGCTGCAACCTTTCCTCTGCATAACTCTGGCTCTAAGACTTCAGTCAGACCTGGTTCGAACATCTGTCACGGCGGATCTCACCTCCAGTAGCCAATATAGGATATAAAATATAACTATATATCTATATATACATAGAGATGAAGTCAAAAAGTTTTAAGATAAACCAAAAATGATTTTTTTTTATACATTATTATTGTTTTTTTAACAGTTTAGATATAATAAAAAAAACACTATGATTTGCTGTGATTGGATCTCACCTTCGTTTGATCCCTTGGTTTAAATTATAAAGTCAGAGCTGATTGGATGGATTGTTTCGTCTTGATTTCAATTGTTGACCAATACAAGAAGTTTCACTTCCTGTTTGGTTTTTGTTTAGATGACGACAGCAGGTCGTCTGTAGCTGAGAACCTGAACTACAGCATCATGACTAGATTAAGTTGGATTAACAGTTTATGTAGTGGATTAGATTTGATAGAACTTGATTTCCTCAGGGAAAAGTCATTTTAATTTTGGGCTGAGAAAAGACATCTTTAAGAAAAATTTAAGAAAAAATGACACATTGATGAAGTGACCACCACAGACCAATCACAGACTCCTCGTCCAGGATGAAGAGCTGTGAAGCCTCATGAACAACAGAGTGATGTGAAGGTGTTGATGAAACCGAGGTGAACCCTGTGATCAGATCTCTCTGAAATGATGTGAAAACCAGGTGTGAACGGGGCCTTAAAGCCGGTCCAGCATGTGAATGAGTGAATGAGCGTCCAGTACTTTACAGAATGCTGACCTGCATGGGGAGCTGCAGTCCACAGTTTTGGTATCAGTCCTCTCTCCTGCCTGCTCTTTTCCAATGCTTTAGATCAAATGCACGACACCTAGAGATCGCCTGATTTTTTTTTTTTTTAAGCAAACTGAACCTTCGACCTTCGACCCTTGTCCGGGGTCGGTCACATGACAGGACGCGCTGTTCACGTTGCTCATGGTGTGAACGGAGGAAGAATCCTGGTGTGACCCAGTGGTGGCTGATCGTTTGATGCGACAGATTCTCAGTTTGACTTTTATAAACACGCTGCCTCCGTCGGAGGTTTTTAAACAAATGAAACGAAGGTGAATTGGATGCTGCATGAAAATATGTCCGTGGTGACGAGTCGGAGTCATGGCATGATTGACATGAAGTGACAAAGTGAGAGGTGCAGCAGCACAGACACTGAACCGTCTGATGTTTTCTTTCTTTACCTGCCTTTCCTCTGTAACAATGGAAGGTAAGTGACTTTTGGAGTTCAGAATAAATGTCATCTAGTGAAGGTTTTATTTATTTTTTAAGGTAACTAAATTTATTTGAGGATTTTTTTTTTAATTATTTTATTTTGGTGCAAAATATTCAGGTTATTAATTTAACAGTATGATGATGTAAAGAATCTGAATCTGACGTAAACTCAAAGTGATTCTTCATTGTTTTAATACTATTGAAACTTATGTCTGAAAAAATGTCTGAGTAATTAAAATAAACACTGCTCTTTTCTCATCTTTTTCTTTCAGCCTGTAAAACGTTACTGAACAAAAAGTCGGACGGAGTGAAGGTAAGTTTCTGTCAGCGTTTTTTAAACTTTCTTTTTTCTTTCCTCTCTTTTCCTCTCGGACTAACAATACTTCAGTGAAATCTTTCTGTATAAACTTTTATGTTCTGGTGCTTTTTCAGAAAAGTAGAAAAAGAGTAGAAAAATAAAGAATAAAAAAATTAACATTTACAGACTTAAAAAACTTATTTCACAATATAAAAAGTATTTTGAAAAAAAAGGAAAATAAAACTAATCTTGGTTTTGATAGAAATTACATTTTTTAGATTAGAAATAATTTTGAATAATAAAATAACTTAAATAATAATTATACATATAGTGTATATATAAACTTAAGATGAATTTCAAGGAATAATAAATATTTTTTAAGAATCTTCTTTTTAAGAAGAAGAAAGAAATATTTTTTCTACTTAACTTTAAAGTTTTATTTTTCCCTCTCCATTTCCCCCGTCGATATATTTTTTTTCCTGCTGCTGTTTATCTTCTTATTGGTTGTTCTCGGGTCGGACCAGACGTTTTCTCTTTTTTATTACTGTCTCAAATCCTTCCTTTCTTGTTTCTTTGTTTTCTGTTGATCCCTTATTTCTTCCCTGCTCCTCCTCCTCCTCTTCCTCTTCTTCCTCCTCTTCCTCCTCGTTGCTGTCTGTCAGAAAAGGAAGTCCAGCTCGAGTGTGTGTTTAATGGTGAGGTCGGCTCTGTCGTCTCCAGCCATCGTTCTTTCTTTTCCTGCTTGTCTCCTCCTCCATTCCCGCCTCTGTCATTTACACGTCCCTGTAGCTAGGAGGCGTCGACGCTGACATTTCATCCACATGTGCAGCAGAAATCATTGGGAAGGTCGACGTCCTCCCTCAAACCTCCACACACTCATGCCCATCCGACCTGTCTGTCCTCGGACGTCAGACGGTCTGACCTTTGACCTGATGATTACATCAACATACAGCACATTAATAAAGCCGCTGTCTGGGTTTAAACCGTTGAACTAATAAAGTTCATTATTGGAGGCTCCAGCTCTGTTTGTAAAAATGTTAAATTTTTTTCCAAGTTTTGCGATAAATATTATCTTTATTTTTCCCCTTTTTTTTCATAAAAGGTTCATTTTTCTGTTAATACAATTGCGTTTTTCCCACCAGGGTCGGCTAATCTGCGCCGCTGCTTTAAACCTGCTGGGAGTAGTGAAACAATTACGGTTTGTTGTGTTTCTTTGCCCCTGTCGCAGGGAAACAGCAGTAAAAACAGTGTAGTCAGCAGCAGCAGCACCAAAGACAGCAGCATGTCATCGACGGCACCGATGGTACTCCTTCATCTCTCTTTAAATTCTGTTGTTTTTTTTTAAGACATCACTTTATGGTTTCACCTTCTTCAGGTTTCGTTCTCTCCACTTCTTTCAAATTCTTTCTTGTTGATTCATCCCACGTTGACTTAAACCATGGGAGTCAAATTCTCTCCCCTGAACCTCATCCTCCACCCTCTGTCCTGAAACACCAGTCGTGACTTCTCGGGGTGGATTTGATGACTTTGAAATGAAACGCCTGTTTGTTTGGTGTGTGTGTTGGTGTTTAGTGTCTCCCCTGGCTCCTGTTTTACCCAGACCCCTGGTGGATAAATGAACATGGTGCACAGCACTGACGGAGACAAATGACTTTCATTTTGCAGAACAGCAGCAGACGCTTCAATCACGGCGTCCACTTTGTTGCGACTCCTTTGTGTTTTCAGCTTTGTTACCTGAGTCTGGATGGTTTGATTTTCAAGTGCCACGTGGTTGTTTTACCAGAACTGAGTTGAGGATAAAATAAATCAAGGTTGAACAGCTGCTCCATCAAAGGTGGTGGTTAAAGGTGATGACGTTGTGGCTGTGAAGTTTGTTTGATCGATCAGTGATGACAGAGATAAATTTACTCGTTTTAACGAGAAGTTTTTTTTTTTTTGGTCGACACGTCACGTCTTAGCTGACTGAGATGTTATGCTAACCTTTATTCATTAACAAAAAAGTTATTTAGCTTTAGCTTTGGCTAACATTTAACAGTGCTGTGTCAATGATGCAGTTCAGTTTTTTGAAACTTTTGAGGAAGTTTAGCTCCATCATCATTGGGATCATTTTTAACACTGACGTTTAACAATCCCTGCGATATGTCAGGATTTCTGGGTAAAACAGGATCTGGTCTGTGGAGACAGAACGAAGCTCCTGCTTTAACACATGAAGTGGATTTTATTCATATTTTATATATAATGAAAATGTAAATTTATCGGATCAGTAAATGAAGGCAGCTCCACAACAATCACTGATCCGTTTCCTGACGTCGATCTAACGTCTGCTGAAGATGAACTTCAGAAACTCAGACTTCTGTTTGTTAACGAAGGAGCTGCGTTTCTTCGGGGGGGGGGGGGGGGGGTTGTATTTCCTGGAGGATGTTTCTCAGTGTTGGTCATGATCTTAGATGTTTGTGACTCACTTCTCTACTCTCCACGTGTTCTGAAGGTCTTGGATTTGCTTTTTCCTAAATGTCTCTGGGGGTCAAGGGTCAAGACTGAGGTCGTGTGGTATTTCACCCTACAGCACATGGGGCAAGAGTTGTGATGGAAGTAAATCTCAAAATTATCACAAAAGCTGACCAATTAAATTATCATTATCTGGAACTATGGTGTCAAACATGTGGCCCACGGGCCTGTGGTGGCCCATAACAGGGGTTGTTCTGGCCCCAGACATTTGGAAGGTGCACAACTAAAAAAAAAACCAACTTATTACTGGACATCAAACTGTGACTTTTTTGTTTGTGAAAAAGTTGAAAAGAGAGTTGAAAAAAAACCCTCAGGACACGGGGGACAAGTGTCACGATGTTTGAATTCAGTTTTGTCACTTCATTGACACCAACTCCAGTTGAAACTGTCACGCTGTCACAGTCAGAGTTGATGTGATCAATCTCAGGTGACAACACTTTATGAACTGGGCGGCACATTCTCCCAAAACACAGAGGAAACCTGACTGAGCCAGAGTTGACGGTTTGATTTCCTCTCCTAATAAAACGGTGAATGTTCCGGAGCTTCATTAACACGTCAGGATTTATATTGGCTTTTCAGAATTTACCATTCGTATTTCTGACGTTAACTTATTTGAGGTGACATGAACATCACAGAGCGCCCCCTGTGTCTCAGTCATGACCCTGTGGAAGGGGTTTTCATTGGATCAGGATTTTGCTGCAGAAAAAACAAATGTCAACGTCTTGTCTTTTTACGTTTGTCATGGAATATTTGTTGATATTCCCTGGCGTTTTACCCTCCCTCCCTCCTTCCTTACTTCCTTCCTGCCCTCCCTCCTTCCTTCCTTCCTTCCTTCTTGCCCTCCCTCCTTCCTTA